CTCTTTCAGCGAAGCAAATTTTCAAACAGGTGAGAACGAACCAGTAGGCAAAGAAGAGCTCAAGGAACACAAGGCCCAAGCACAAGCCAAAGCAGCCATTAGGATGATTAAAAGCCAAGGAAGTTTGTCTTTTGCAGCCTTGTTGTTTGCGGGAATTTCAGTGACTTCAGAGAGTCTTCAGTTTCAGAGTTGCAAGGAACAGTGTCTTGAGAGTTTGGGATTTCAGGAAGAGTTTCAGGAATTTCAGGAAGAGCTTCAGGAACTTCAGGACTTTTCTTTCTGTTGCGCAAGTGCATGTGAGCAGGACGTCATGTGCAGTGACATGAGTGCATGTGAGCTAGGAACGTTTTGCATAGGAAGTGAAGCGCATGAAACCACATGTTGCGAGATGCTTTCGCAGCTCAAGGAACTCTGTGGAAACCTCGCAGAGAGGTCAGGAAAAGTGTACCAGCCAGGAACCGCGCCAGCCATGGAGAGCGCGAGCAGCTCAAAGTCTGCAGCAAGAGCTCGGCGTGCTCAAGGAAGCACTTGGCGAGGTAAAGAAGTCTCAAGAGCACAAGGAACAGATCAACGAGTCTATCCGCAGGAACACAGAGGAAGCAGTGAAGCTTCGAAAGTCAAAGGAATACGTGGCGATGTGTGTGTGAAGACACCTACGACTCAGGTACAAGACGTCAAATTTCAGGTACAAGAACTGCAGGAACAGAACGATCGTGAGCGAGCCACCACTCGTGATGAGATGAGGCAGGTATTCATCACCCGCGACATGCTCAAGGAACAAGTCCAGGAACTCATGGACGACGTCTACTACCAGACCGACCAAGACGGCCAGGAAGCAACCGCAGAGGAAAAGGAAAGAGAAGCCCAGCACCGACGTGAAGAAGCAGAGTTGAGGAGAACAGGACACGGCCTAGGAACCACGTCGAGAGCTACGTCACCTACCTCCACACCAAGGAAGCACAAAAGAAAGGAAGGTGAAGGAACAGCACCAGACCTTGAGGAGTGGTCTGACAGAGCCTACTTGGAGCAAGGCCAGGACCACGAGGACTACGGCGAGAACGGGAACGAGGTACACGCAACGCTACGTTGGAGGAGATCCCGGGGAGTACCCCGATGGAGCAAAGGAGCAAGAAGAAGGAGAAGAGGAAAAGAAGGAAGAAGAGGAAGACGAAGAGGCAAAGGAAGAGGAAAGAAAGAGGAAGATCAGAGAGATCAACGCCAAGAGCAAGGAGAAGGCAAAGGAAAAGAAGAAGGAAGCAGACAGCTTTCCGTACCCCTACGACTACGGCAACGAGTGGAAGGAATACACCGAGCACGGCGAGATCTACAGACAGCACAGAGTCACAGGAGAGAAAGTGTTGTTGGACAAGGACCACAAGTACAAGCACCAGAAAGGAACCAAAGGAAAGGACAACCAAGGAAGAGGAAAGGAAGCAAAAGAAGGCAAAGGCAGAGGACAGCCAAGGGAAGAGGAACCAGGACTTCAGCCTCGTGACAAAGATGATCGCCAATACTGGGAAGAGCAGGACAGGACCTCAGAGGAACAGAAGAAAGCAAAGGCAGCAGCAGAAGCAAAGAAGAAGGAAGAAGAGGAGAAGATCGCAAAAGCACGCAGGATTCTAGAGGAAGCTGCAGCAGAACAGGAAAGGAGATACAAAGCAGAAGCAGCCGCAGCAGCCGCCCAGAGAAGGCGAGAAGCAGAGGAAGCAGCCGCAGCAGCCAAAGCAGAGAAGGAGAAGCAAGAAGAGGAAGAAGCAGCCGCAGCAGCCGCAGCAGCAGCCAAGGAAAAGAAGGAGAAGAAGGAGCAGGAAAGAAGAGAAAGGAGAAGGAAGCAAGGAAGAAGAGAGATCATGACCAGAAGGAGTCGTCATCATACATTGCAAGGAAGGAAGCAGAAAGGACAGCAGCAGCAGCAGCAAGAGCAGCAGAAGTGGAGAAGGCACTTGAGGAAGGAGACAGGATCCAGAAGCTGGAAAGGATGATGGAGGAAATGATGAAGGAACGGACAGAGGATAAGGCGAAAATCGCAAGCCTTACACAGGAACTCGAAAGCAGAGGATCAGCAGCCGGGTCGCAGGCACCCACGGAAGGAGAAGCAGACACAACACCAGCACAGGAGCAGGAGCAGGAAGAAGAGAGGGACGAGGAACTCTTAGGAAAAGGACCTGTGAACGAAAGCTCTTTTCAGAAAGGAAAAGGTCGTGGAGAGTTTGAAGGAAACTGGCTTGCAGCCAACAGCTTCGGGAACCGCAGGTACCAGTGGAAGTGGAACGAGAACAACAAGAAGTGGTACTGGTACTCAGGAACAAACCAACGTGGCTGGAAAGCAGGCAGCCGCGACAGCAAGGAAGGGAGAAGTGTGAAGCCCAGGCACAGCAGCCCAACGACTACCTCAAGACCAAAGGAAAAGGAAAGGACTCAAAGGACCCAGAAGTCGTGGTGGTCGACGACGAAGAAGACAAAGGAACAGTGAACTTTCAGTGAGGCCAGAGAGCCGAGGAAGTGAGGCCAGAGAGCCAAGGAAAGAGCAGTGAAGCCAGGACACAGGAACCGTGGCACAGCCCTTTTTTGTTTCTGTGGTGATCTAAGTCAGCAGGAACAGTCTTTTGTACAGTCTAGCAACCTTGGAGAGGATTGCGAGTGAACGGTAACGTTTGCGAAAGAGGAACAGCTTTTGTTTTGGAGTGAAAAGGAACTGCAGCGTGTTTACTGTTGTAAAGGAAAAGTCGGAGTCACCTCAGTCGAGGAACTTTCGCTACCTCCGAAGGCGGGGTGTTAAACCTTCTGCCAGAAACAGTAACACCGCTAGTGCAGTGTAGTTAATGTGCAGTGACGCACAGGCTCGAAACCCAGCGGACACAGCGACCGTCCCAGGAAAAGTGACCGCTTCAGTTTGAGTGTAGGAACCTTAGTGAAGCCCGTTCTTTAACAGTATGCCAAGCCATGAATCAGACACCTCCGAGGCTCGAGCGAACGTATGCCTTGATGAAGTATGCGTGCCAGATCGACGCTGGCAAATCAATGGTACAAGGGGGTTCCACACCCGCGACCATCGTTTGTAAGTGAAGACCGCTGTAGCGAGGGTAGCATTCGACGTTCGGATAGTGAGACGGTGGAGACTCGTTCCGACGATGGTGTGCTCCCCAAAACCACAGCCAAGTTGCAAGCGCCGCGTGGTTTCTGTAGCAGATGTGGCGCAAGTAACTGTCGAAAGGCGAAAATTATGGCTCTTCCATGCGCCGGCGTTGCCGGGGTTTGGCTTTGCCCTTGGGTGCCCGAGAGGCGCTCTTCTTGGCCGAGCTGACACATTGCCAGCCCTCGACAGTAAACTCTGCCGTGTCGTTCCAGTGTGTCTCCTCCAAGGCTAGGACATCACAAGTATCCGAAGCCTTGGTGTGGAGCCAGGTTTTCGCTTCAGCCCATTGCTGCACTCCGAAATTGCTGTGCGTACCTCCGCAGGACCGGCGTACAGGCATAGGTGAAGGAGAAGAGGGAGACTGGTTGGCACTAAAAGTCGAGTGAGCCGGGAGTATGGGGATTCTAGGCCGCTGTGTCTGACGTAGTCAGGAGTGAGGGTGCCATTCCGGTATGGTTGGCTTTCATGCGAAATACCCTGTTGCAGGCTCTGCGAAAGGCTATCTTGCGAATGCTCCTTTGCGAATTCTGGTGCACATGCGATGCCGCCATCCGCTAGTTTCGAAACCCAGACCTGGGTCCAGGAGACTCCTTTCACCGCGCGGACAGGTGAAAAACCTACCGCCTACCTCGTTGCTGTCAAGTGTGACGTTAGCTGCGCGGCCCGGGAATTGGGACCCGGCTGATCACAGAGGATGTCGGCCGGGGCACCCGCTGTATGGCTCAATCGGTCGGACAACCCTTACGCTTGGCGAAGGGAGCCTGTTGCCTGTTGCGAAGGGAGCCTGTTGCGAGCCTCTAGAGTTGGTGGCCCCGGCCTGGTTAGGACAGCTACCCTGCCTTCTGTGAACCGTGGCGGCTACAACAATAACAACAATAGCCACAACCAGAACGACAACGAAAAAGACAACGACAACGACAACAACCAACAACAACCACAGCAACAACAAGAACCACAGCCACAACCCAAACTACAGGCACAACATGGCACAACCACAACTCAACCACAACAACAACAACAGCAACACCATCAATAACACAACGAGCAACAGCAACAGCAACAAGTATAGTATAGCGGTATAGCTACAGCAACAACAACAACAACTACAACTACTACTACTACTACTACTACTACTACTGCTACTACTACTACTACTACTACTACTACTACTACTACTACTACTACTACTACTATTCTTACTGCTACTAGACTACTACTTTTACTGCTCCTGCTTCTGCCACTGCCACCGCCACCGCCACTGCTACCGCTACTGCCACTGCTACTGCTACTGCTACTGCTGCTACTACCACTACTACTACTACTACTACTAATACTAATACTACTACTACTACTACTACTACTACTACTACTACTACTACGACTACGACTACGACTACGACTACGACTACGACGTACTACTCCTCATACTCCCGCTACTCCTACTTCTCCCAATCTTCCTACTACCCCTAGTATTCCCACTACTCCTACTACTCCTGCACCTGCTCCTGCTTGTGCTCCCTGCTCCTGCTCCCTGCTCCTGCTTCTGATCCCGCTACTGCTAACGCTCACTGCTATCGCTAACTGCCATTATCGTACGAATACCACTCCGACGACGACCACGACGACGACTACTTCTGCGATTACCTTTATTGGCGATCTATTTGTCCTTGGGTTCTGACTCCGTCTGGCAGCTGCTATTGCTGCTGCTACTGCTGTTTTTGCTCGTGCTCACTATTTAGCAATGCTACGCCTTCTCCGCTGCGCGGCTCCTACTGTTGCTTCTGGTGCTACTTGCGCCTCTGCTATTTCCAGTGCAACCACTGTCGCAAAACATGAAACGGTGAAATTGATGCCCGGTGCCCAGTCAGCAGCCTGGGCGCTCTTCTGCAGCCTGCGTTGTGCCTTTGCTGTCAAACATAGAGCTTCCTGGGGCAATGTTGCAAGACGAATGCAAAGGAGCTGTTTGGCATATGGCCTGGAATTGGACGTTAGATGTTGTTTTCTTGTGTCTTCACATCATTAGACAGATTATTTGAACATCTGTGTGTGTTTGCGACATAGCTCCGTGCTGAAACGGTGGGAAGCCGGAACAGCTAAAGTGTGTAAGGTTTTGGCATCGAGCACGAAGCTTCGCATTCCCAGACACGACAAGCTGAAGCAGGTGACAACATCAGGATTTGGAATCTGCTTCCCGCCAGGATTGGCCTGGATGTGCCCCACTCGGCCTTTTCGGCGACTGCACCTTGGTTTGAACGAGACCAGTACTGGTCCCTTAATACATTCATAACCCTGGCCGCCTGCACCTGAATTCGTGAAGGGATCAGATCCTTCTGGAGCCTATCCTATTCAACATGAAACATGTCGGCCAGCTAAAGCACACAGGAATCTGGTCTCATTGAATTAGACTAGGCGAAGGCAGCCGAAAAGACGGCACCCATTCGTGAAGCCTAAAACTCTGGATCACGTTTTCGTCGGCCTTCCCGCTTTGGGCATTTCGTTGGGTTTTGCCCAACCCTAGAATCACAGCTCTCCCAGCTGCGGCTTGAATGACTCAAATCGTACGCTGATTTCAAACCTTCTTTGTCTGTGAGGCCTAGAGCATTGAGTCGCCATCGGTTGTCGGCTCAAGGCCCAGAATCAAGTTCTTGATGTCCTCTTGACGTTGAGGTCTTTCTAGTCTTAAATGGGTTCCTAAGCTAGAGTACAGGTTCTCGAGGCTTGAACATTAAGCGAGCCTGTCCGTGCTAGTTACGTTGCTGCACATCCGAAAGCGTCCCATCAATCCCTAGTTTCCGCCACAAAGCAACAGAGGAACGACCTGCAGAAAATATGGTCAGCCCAGTAGCACCCTCAACCAATCTCGTGTCGTTGTGAAATCCTAAACTCGAAATCTTCCGGTGCAAAGTCGCTTGTCGGCCGAACGGTGCTGCTAGCGTTGGCGGTCCTTCTTCGAACGCCGGAAATCGCAAGACTGGAACCACGACTCAACCAGTTCGAAAACATATTAAATTCCTACCCCACTCAAAGCTCTGAAAGTCCGTCCCAGGCTGTCCCTCCAACGGAGGTGCGATGCTGGGCTGCTGTCCCGACCCCAAGAGGGCTGGAAGATGTTGGAAGCTGGTTTTCCGAAAGCCAGGAGGTGTCAGGATTCGGGAAATGAGAAGTGACCTCGTTGCCCGATCCTTAATACGAGACCCAAGGTAGCGCGCCGGGGCGTCGTCTAGCACTGCTGCAGATGGAGAGGACGCGGTTTCGGTTGCAGGCTTCTAGTGTTGAATGAGAAAAACTCCATCCTTCAGAGATGAAAATAATTTCGTAATTGTGCTGGTGCGGTTTAACGATGTTTTCCAACGGCTTTTCATGAATATGGGCATTAATTTCATTCTTTACGTGCATGCACCATGTCTTTCTCCTGTAGCGCTTTGACCTTCTTAAGGAATTCCGAACCTCGGGTTCAGGGTGGACGATCCGGTCAGGAAGGGTGTCACAATCGATGACACCACTCTCCAGTCCCTCGGTTGCGTTGATAGGGCGTAGGGAAACAGAGCCCCATCGTTGACACAATCCGAAATGCAGATGCCAATATGATCAAGACAAGGTCATGAGATGTACTCGGCGCATAATGCTGCAGCCAAGATGCGAAGGAAGGGGATCCGCAGCGGATGCAAGCCTTGCAAATTGAGGTCGTAAAAGTTTTCAAACTTTGCGCATAGGACAGCAAAGGGAGGAGCTTGCCGAGGCTGTAATTAGCCTGGACATGCTCTTTCGACAGTAGATAGTTTGGCGAAGCTGACTGCACAATAGTCCACTGTGCCCTTTGTGCTGATGCTTCTTTTGCTTACTCAAAGAATCCTAGTCTCCTAGTCATTCCCTGACTCAGCCGTCAAGCGCGAAGCTCGGATGCAAGGTATTGCGCTCGCCGCATCCCCGGTGCATGGCCGAATGCTCGTGCACCCCTGACATCGCTTCGAATCTTTCAGACCTGGAGTCTGGAATGCAGGTGCTTTAAGTTGAGCGGCAGTTTGGAGTTTGGGACTCTGCTTGAAATACGTTGGTGGTTTCTTGGCGTCTCTTCCATCTACTTCAGACCTATTGATGATTTAACAGTTTTCAGGTTGTAAAAGAATTCTCGGACACGTTCCGAAGCTTCAACACACCACATGTTTAACATGGCAGGACCGAAGCGTGAGTTCCTCCAACGACTGTGAGCCTATGTTATGCCACACACGAAGTGGGATCGTCCCTTCAACTGCAACTTGATCTCTGACATGCCCCTTAATCCTCCTCTCGGCTTCATCTGGCTTGTACCGGGTTCGCTGATCGAAGCTGTAAGGGGTTGTGGCCCCTTTGAATCAGAATGAACG